ACAATTAAGTTGTTTAAACAAATGTATTGCAATGGTAGAAAAAAAAACGGTGTGCGTCTGAAAACTGTAGGTAGTGGGGGTACTTATTTTTTTAAAGGGGTACTTTATTAAAAAATAGGTTAAGAAACTGCTGTACAGCATTTAGTACAAAGATGGCTGAAAAACCAAGCACCTCTGTGTTTTCACTGGCATAATGATGGCCTATAACAAATAAAATGCTTTACCAGAGGACACTTGCAACTGATAGCTGAACAAGGAAAAAAAAACACCTATATGCTTCTTATAGCACCTATAGACTGGAAGGTGTTTTCCAGCAGACGTAGTCCCATCAACTTTCATGCATAATAATGTCAATGGCAGTGCTCACCAATATGAATGCAATTCGTTTTAGTGTTAAAATGCATTTTAGTGTTAAAAATGCAAAACAAGGGCAACTGATCTTTAAAGAACAAAATATATCTTCACATAAAATACACTGCATCAGCACAAAGTGTATTTCACAACTGGATAGCACAGAGAATTAGGTTCAGAAATAAGCAAAATGACCTTCATAGAATCATAGAATAATAGGCCTTATTTGACAGATGAAAACTGATTACCTGAGTGCCAGATTTTATTGTCTTATAACTCGTCCCCAGAGCCAGTTCATCCTCCAAAATACATGGTTAGCTTTACTGTATTGTACACAAAATGACATCTCTAAATTCAGATTTTTTTAAACCTGCTACTATCCCAGTCACTGTGCTTTAAAAAAAAAAACCAAAAGCCCATAACAAAGTCACTTATGTTTTTTTGGTATCTTACATATACAGGCAGTCCCCGAGTTACGCGGATCCGACTTATGTCGGATCCGCAGTTACGAACGGGGCGTTCCTCTCCCTGGTCTCCAGCAGACCAGGGAGAGGAAGCAAAGCGGCGGAACACGTGGGCAGCGGACAGGGCTGTCCGCTGCCCACGCGCTCTGAGGCTTGTCTCTGCTTTGCCCCCCCCCCCGTCCCTCTGGTCTGCAGACCAGGGGGACGGGGGAGGGGGGGCAAAGCAGAGCCAAGCCTCGGAGCGCGTGGGCAGTGGACAGCCCTGTCCGCTGCCCACGTGTTCCGCCGCTTTGCTTCCTCTCCCTGGTCTGCTGGAGACCAGGGAGAGGAACGCCCCGTTCGTAACTGCGGATCCGACATAAGTCGGATCCGCGTAACTCGGGGACTGCCTGTATATGTAAGATACCAAAAAAACATAAGTGACTTTGTTATGGGCTTTTGGTTTTTTTTTTTAAAGCACAGTGACTGGGATAGTAGCAGGTTTAAAAAAATCTGAATTTAGAGATGTCATTTTGTGTACAATACAGTAAAGCTAACCATGTATTTTGGAGGATGAACTGGCTCTGGGGACGAGTTATAAGACAATAAAATCTGGCACTCAGGTAATCAGTTTTCATCTGTCAAATAAGGCCTATTATTCTATGATTCTATGAAGGTCATTTTGCTTATTTCTGAACCTAATTCTCTGTGCTATCCAGTTGTGAAATACACTTTGTGCTGATGCAGTGTATTTTATGTGAAGATATATTTTGTTCTTTAAAGATCAGTTGCCCTTGTTTTGCATTTTTAACACTAAAATGCATTTTAACACTAAAACGAATTGCATTCATATTGGTGAGCACTGCCATTGACATTATTATGCATGAAAGTTGATGGGACTACGTCTGCTGGAAAACACCTTCCAGTCTATAGGTGCTATAAGAAGCATATAGGTGTTTTTTTTTCCTTGTTCAGCTATCAGTTGCAAGTGTCCTCTGGTAAAGCATTTTATTTGTTATAGGCCATCATTATGCCAGTGAAAACACAGAGGTGCTTGGTTTTTCAGCCATCTTTGTACTAAATGCTGTACAGCAGTTTCTTAACCTATTTTTTAATAAAGTACCCCTTTAAAAAAATAAGTACCCCCACTACCTACAGTTTTCAGACGCACACCGTTTTTTTTTCTACCATTGCAATACATTTGTTTAAACAACTTAATTGTAGCTGGGCGGGCAATGAAATGTTTGGGTGTAAAAAGTACAAAAATAATAAAATGCTGTAAAACTTAAAAAAAATTCATTTTTCTCCACATTTTAGTTGTGTTGATGTACCCCCCAGACTTCTGTCAAGTACTCGTCAGGGTACTTGTACCACTGGTTGAGAAACTCTGCTGTACAGCATAATTAGAACGATATGTGCCACATCCCCAATGAGTTTAGTGTTTCATTTTAGACATAACTTATCACTCACGGCAGTTGAATGAAAAGATGCCCATGATTTGAAGATGTTTATTTTTTAAGATTAAAATATTGTTTTATGTTTGTATGTAATAATAGTGAGGTATGTGAAGAAAGAATTCAGTACAGTGAAACCTGCACTATCCAGAACTTAAGTATCTGGAAAACTGTAGAAACCAGCAAATTTCTGACACGGGGAAAAGCCAACAAAAAAAAAAAAAAAAAGGAAAGAAAGAAACTAGCTCTTTAAGTGCCAGGCTGCTCCTCAAATGAGCTTGCAGCATGTACCTGGGAGAGGGGAGAACAGCACCCAGAAGCAAGCAGCAAGCATCTCGGCTACCCCGTGCAGCTCCTGGTTCCCCCCCAGCAGGTCAGCCCCCCACGGCATCACCGCCTTCTGT